GAACCCTTTGTACGAACAAAAGTAAGAGAAATTTAGGAGAAGAAAACTAACATGTTCTTGCATGAGGCCCATTGTGTTACAGAATAACAATTCTGAACCAAAGTTTATGATGTCTCTTCCTTTTTTTTGTTTGTTATTTGTTTGTTTTAAATACATAAAGGTCATTGTATTTGAGGAGCAAGAAGGAGACTACAAGGTCCACTTTGAGGATACACCTGATCTGGGCATGGCAGCAGAAATCCAGTGACCATCATCATATCTTCCTTGCATAACATTATTTTTACTCACAAAGTGCTCATCAGGTTATAGTTAAATACAGGGATGTCAATGTTGTTAATAGGATAGTTTGGATTTTTTGAAATGGGGATCTGCTGAGGATAACATGGCAGAAYGGTGGTTCAATCTGTCATCTCACTGTGAGAATGCCACAGGTCTGTCTTCCAACCTTTCTGTGTGGAGTTTGCATGTTCTCCTCATGCATGTGTGCGTGTTTCTCCAGGTTCTTTCCACAAAGCAAAACTATGAATGTTAGATTACTTGGTAACTCTAAGTTGTCCCTAAATGTGGGTAAGAATATGAATGTTTTTCTCGTTTGTCTCTGTGTTCCCATTGCAGTGACTGCTGGATATAAGCACCAGTTCTCTTTTGACCCGTAAAGGAACAATGGGTAAAGTAAATGGATGGAAAATTGGGTTATGCTAAGTTGTTAATTAATATTAGTGTCTTACTTGCATTAGACTGTTGAAAATGATTGATCAGTTTGCAATACTGGGCAGAGGTTTTTTTTCAGGCGAGTTGAGTCAACAACCAAATCTGAACAAAACCATATAACTAAAGTAGGTTTTTGTTCTTAAAGCAACTCAGTCAAAAAGATTTTAGAGGTTTTATCAACAGGATTCTCTACATTTTACATCTCTTTTCCTTTCATTTGACTATTATTTATATGAGGTGATGTCCATGTTTTTTTACATAGAAGACTGAGTCAGCTGTGTACTGCATTATTAGTATGACTGAGCAAAAAAATAAATAAAAAAAACATCTGATCGAAAAGTAATGCAACATAAGAAAACGAATATTTTACATGAGATTGAGTAAATATTGTACACCTTTCTAATGTGGTAGTAGTAATAGTTTATTCATTGTTTAAAAAAAACATAAATTCTGTATACAATAAAAAATACAAATCATAAAATAAATGAAACAGCAGAAGAAAAAAATCATATCTGCCCCTTTTCTCAAAAAAATTAAACAAAAATGTTCTTCAAATAAAAAACATTTTAAAAAAGGAAGAAAAAAGGTTTAACCCCTTCTTGAGCAACAGCTCATAAATACACATTATACCATTACATATTTCTCCAACAGACTAAGCTTTATCATACTCTTAAATACACCCACTGATTTGGCATTAACACCATCTTCCAGATTATTCCATAATCTTATTCCTTGAAGTGCACTGTTCCTTCAAACTGTTTCACAAATATTTCCATCCCTTTGAGATTGTACAAATCTTAACAAAATGTAATTGGATGTTCTAAGTTAATGTGTTTTTATGAGCCCTATACGTAACTGATAAAATACTATAATCAACCAAATCATTGAACKTCAATATCTTCAGCTGATAAAATAATGTATTTGATGGATGGTTGTAGCTCTTTTCTGAAAAACAAACAGGATTTGTAATTGTTTTACATTCTTTTCCCCAAATATCACTACAGTAGATTAAGTGTGAAACTATTAYTGCATTATACAGCATACAACAGTGCCTTATCATTAAATAACTCCTTTACTTTATACAGTACTGCAATAGATTTAGCTATTTTGGTTCTTAAAAGAAATAAATGAGCTCTCCATGTCGGTTTTTCATCAATAATAACATCCAAAACCTTCACCTTACTGACTCTACAGATCTCAACACCATCAACTTAAAAGGAAACATCAACATTTCTCTATTACTAAATATCATATCATTAGTCTTATCCAAATTTAATGATAATTTATTAAGTTTAAATCACATTTGTATTTTAGCAAATTCTGCTTGCATCATTTCAAACATCTGTTCTCTTTTTTTTACCAAAACAAAAAAAATGTGGTGTCATCTGCAAATAAAACACATTTAAACAACCCTGACACATTTGCTAAATCATTTACATACAAAACAAATAACTTTGGACCAAATACAGAACCCTGAGGAACTCCACATGTGATATTGTCTATTTCAGATTTTACATCCTTTATTTGTACAAACTTTTCTAGATGCCCACTGTAGTGCTGGTACTCTAATGCCATATTTGTTCAAATTTTCAAGAAGAATACTGTGATCAATTGTGTCAAAAGTTTTCTTTAAATCAACAGAAATACTAGCACAGTAATGTTATCCATCAACAGCAGTTATATCAATTCCATAAGAGCCATTGATGTTGAATTATTTGCTCTAAATCCGTATTGACTGTTAATATATTTAGTTTATTGCGTATTGACTGCTAATATTTTTTGTTTATTGATAAATTGATCTAATCTAATCACAAATAATTTCTCTAAAGTCTTTGAAAATTGTGGTAACAATGATATTGGTCTGTAATTGTTGAACACATATTTCTCACCATTCTTGAAAAGAGGAATTACCTTAGCTTGTCAGGGTGGTGTTCCCCCACAAGGGAGAGACTCAGGGGAGTGTGACTCATGTGCAGGGACCCGGGGATCAAAGAAGAAAAACAGATTTATTGTAGAAAAAACTCAGGACTTGACAAAAAATGTCTTCATAGAACTCAGGACTGGACATAGGACCTTCATCAACATGTAAAAAACTCTTAGGAACTGGATTACTCACAGAAAGCACAGACACCAGCACCTGACCAGGGAGGAAGAGCCTCAGTGCACCCACACTCAGAGACAGACAGGCAGAACTAAACACACACAGGACTAATTAGGGGAGTAGACACACCTGAGAGCAGGAGGGCAAACTCAGTCACAAGGAAATTAACCACACATGAGACAGAAAGTTAGAAAATACCCTGAACAAATAACCCAACACTAAGAAAAACCTAACAAACCACAGAATTCCCAACATAGCTATTTTCATATTGTCTGGAAATATACCTGTTGAAAATGATAAATTACACATGTAGATGGATCAATCACATAATTCATTATTTCCTTCACAAACATCATATTCATGTCCACCCAGTCTTTAACTTTTATCAGCAAGATTTTTTACAGTATTCATTATTTCTTTGTCAGTTCCATTGAGAAAAATACGGTTGGTACAACCTGTAACTGAATGACTCATATTTTTATCTACTTTTGGTATTTTATCTGCACGACTTGGACCAACATTTACAAAATAATGATAAAATCTGTTTACCATTTCATTCTGATCATGGATTTCATTTTAATCTTTTATAAAATTTTGTGAAATATCTGATCTTATGGCTCTTCAAGACACTATTCATTATTCGCCATGTTGCTTTCATGTTACCATGACTTTTGTTTAATAAATCACTGTAATATCCCATCTTATGTTTTCTTATAATCCACACCAATTTATTTTAATATTTCTTGTAGCTATCTCTCTTCTGCTGCTTTTTCTCTCAATTTAAAGAAGCATGTACCGGTAATGCCCGCTTTGCACTGTTTCTGAGTTTTGATGGATGACCCTCTCTTGGCAGATTCACTAAAGAGGCATCTTCTTTTTTCATTTTCTAATAATAMATTTAAAAATGCTCCAATGTTCAGGATTTGAAATAATTTTTATAATCTTGATGGTAGTTTTTACTACGTAATATGTTGCTCTGGGCGACATGGTGGCTCAATTGGTAGAGCTTGCTTCTCAGCAAGAAGGTCGCTGGATCAAACCCCAGCCCGGGGACCTTTCTGGGTAGAGTTTGCATGAACAGGTCTACATACACTGAGATAATGTTTACACTTTGATGGAAACACATGGATGTTTTTCAACTAATTATGTGGTTTCTGAAGGTACTGGCTGTAGCTTCAAAGCAAATATACACGTACATGCACAGTTTTTTGTTGAAGTAATGAAACAAGCTTTTATTTATTTCCAGAATTAATTTCATTACATTGGAATATTTTGTGTAGGTTCATTTCTACTAAATTACTACTAAAATTCACTTAAACTGAGAGGCAATAAAGCAGAAAGAGTACAAATGGGCTTTAATACTTTTCAACCTACTGCAAACAATATTGCTCAAATATTAACACTTTTAAATCTCATAAAAAAACAGATCATCAAAAACACAAAGCCAAACTTGTACCTCTGAACTGTGTAACAGTGAACTGAAACACCTCATTAATCAAAGCAGGAAGACTGAGTCTGAAACGGTTCGACAAAAACCTGTGGTGAAATCATTACCGCTTTGAACATATGGATCTAATCTGTTGTTTGGTGCTTTTTTCTTCTTTTTTTTTGTTTGTTCAGCATGAGTCAGCGTTTACCTGATAATGCATTACAGATTTTTGAAGAAGTGACCGACTCAGTCGATAGGTTAGAAAAAGGAGAGAAATAGCAGACAGAATATTTTACTTTCACAGAAGAAAATTACAGTTTTTTTCATTTCATGTTGAAACCAATCAGTAAAGTAAAAGATAAAAAGGCAGTGGGAAAGCATGCACACTGTTTGTTCACTGTGCTCCATCCTGTTAGGCKGAGGCTCCGCAGTAACACGTTGTGTCATTATAAAACACGTCACAGCTGTATTTAAAGAGGCCGATCTCTTCCTCCACTTCTCTTCCTCACTGCGTTCTCACCAGCCGCCAGATCATCTTAGATACTGGCCCCTAAAAAAAACAAAAAACATTTAAATTTTCACTAAYCATTTGAAAGATTTTTGCTTTCCTGCACCTTTTCTTTCTGTTATTGATCCATTTGCTTTCTAGGATTTGGAGTATGATTTTAAGGCTTAAAGTTTCTAAAAGATCTTGTWTGGAAAAACAAGAGAACCAGTTTCTAGCTGGAACAAAGTTCAGCCAACAGGATACCTTCAGAGACAATCCTGATCTTTGTTCCAGACATAAAACTGCTACAACTAAGGTAAGAATTAAGATAGTTCTAAATGTATGAGTGAATAAATTAATTTATGATGYGCATGAGTGGCAGAACATACATWTAATWTAWATAACAGCTRGGTSTTTCATTCAGAAACAYTWAAGACTCTTATTAAAGGTCTGCTTAATCTAATCGAGTTGTTGAAAAAGATTAGTTCATAACATTAATAAAAATGTGAATAAATCTGAACTAAGCATATCATGCACACTAATAAGATCTATAAGACAAATACGTTTTTATATAAAATACAGCAACCTTTGAACTAATTTGTTGGTTTTTTATTTTAGATTTTGGAGGAGCTTCTAGTCCTTTAAAAAAAGCCACTTCTGGATCTTTGTTTTGAACAAATGGATTTTAGAAATGGTTGGATTTGGACCTGCAGATGTGCCTCCGTCAGCAGTGGTAAAGTTTGTGGGAGCAGGAGCTGCAGCCTGCGTTGCTGACCTGCTCACGTTTACGCTGGATACGGCTAAAGTGAGGCTGCAGGTAAATTAAAGCTTAGTTTGCCTGAACTGGCTTTGTGTGCAACATTTCACCTCCAATCACATTTAACACATTACAGTTTAGATCTATCCCATGTACTTTGTTTATTTCACAAAGATCCAGGGAGAGAGCAGCGCAGCGAGTTCGGTGAGGTATCGTGGCGTGTTTGGCACCATCATCACCATGGTGCGCACTGAGGGACCTCTCTGAGTCTACAGTGGACTGGTGGCCGGACTCCAGAGACAAATGAGCTTCGCCTCTGTTCGTATCGGTTTATAAGACTCTGTTAAACAGTTCTACACCCGAGGCACAGACCGTAAGTAGATTTTCTATAAAATAATTTCATTTATTGAACCGTAATTCACGTCTGACATCGTCTTCTTCTTCAATGGCTCAGATGTTGGCATTGGTAGTCGGCTGCTTGCAGGGTGCACCACTGGAGCCATGGCTGTTGCTTTTGCTCAGCCCACCGACGTGGTGAAGGTTCGTTTTCAGGCTCAGGCCAYATCCGGTGAGCACGCTAGACACTACTGTGGCACCATTGATGCTTACAAGACCATCGGTAGGGAAGAAGGGATTCGAGGGCTCTGGAAAGGTAATTTGGTATTTAAAAAAAAACAAGTATGTGTCCTGAATGCTTTTGTTAATATTAACCCTTTAAGCCAGGAACAGCACCAAACATTGCACGCGATGCCATTGTTAACTGCACAGAACTGGTGACGTATGACTTCATTAAGGATCTGCTGCTCAAGTCCACTCCCTTGACAGGTAAAAGGCTCAGATTCAGTGAAGGTCCTGTCACACTTTAACAGTTTAAACAACTCATGACTTACCCAGGTAGGTTATATATTTGATCTAATTATAGTACAGTGTTTACTTTAAAAGAGGCTGCCACTACAGTTTTTAAATTGCATTTTAAGTGTAGACATCTTGAGTTGTTTAAAACATTACAGTGTGACAGGACCATAAGATGCAGTGTTTCAGTTTGAAGCTGTAACATCCAGCATGTGCTCCACAGATAACCTGCCTTGCCACTTCGTATCGGCCTTCRGTGCCGGGTTRTGCACGACTGTGATCGCCTCTCCTGTCGATGTGGTCAAGACGAGGTACATGAACTCTGCTCCGGKCCAGTACGGCAGCGTTCTCAATTGTGCTGCTGCCATGATGACCAAAGAGGGGCCACTTGCTTTTTACAAGGGGTCCGTAATTCTWGCAGAGATTAGATCAAACTAAATTAGTCTTTGTATCGCTGTAAAACAAATTGAATGAATGTTTTTCTTGTTCTATTCTCTCTTTAGGTTCATGCCGTCGTTCTTACGGCTGGGCTCCTGGAATGTGGTGATGTTTGTTACTTATGAGCAGCTGAAACGAGCCATGATGGCAGCAAATAACAGCAAYATGGCTTCACTGTAGGCAATGATGTCTATCTGAAAGGCTGCTACTATACCACACCTGCCTTTTASATGTAATCAGCTTTTATTATAATATTTCAAAAGCCATTACTGYTTGTAGGAGCGCAACATGTGTAATWAATATGTTAGAAATGYTGCAAACCTAGAGCTTGTTTGATCAGAMGCTTGCTGGCAGAGGAKAGTGACMYAGGAAACTGAATGTCAAACGCCATGATGAGGTTTCCTCTCTGGGATGGATCCTGTGGCAGCGGCATGCCTTCYCCAGTCACCACTTTCTCGTACGCAGGGCTGATATGTTACAACAAACAGATCAGAAAGAGAGTCAAATATTAAAAAAAAAGAAAAATATTATGTACAAAATCAGAATCAATTTAACGAATGTCCTAGTTTTAAAAAAATGCAGTTTATAAACAAYTAATTGCCTGAATTGGTACCATTTCATAATAGGGCTCCTTCTAAGGATTCATTAATGCTTTATAAAAAAGGTTATACATGAGTTTGTAAACACTGCATCGACAAGCATTTATAAAAATATAAAACACTGTTCATACGTTGAAGCAGGCTCACTATTCGACAAAATTAAGTGTCATACTTTTATTAATTCAGTTAAATGTACAATTTTGCTTGTTGCTCAGCTTGCTTCTTCAATTAAACAACTTCATTTACCAAAAACAGAATTTGTGTCAACAATAGGGTTGGGTAAAACCGTATAATTGATCGTCAGAAAAACTGTCATCAAATGGGGAGCCGGCTTCGATGTACGAACAGCGTTTCATAACCATTTCATAAAAGATGGTTAATGCTCAGGGGTAACCTATTTATAAAGCATTAATAACAAGCGAGACCACAGATAGAGGCAGTCAAAATGAGTTTTATCAGCAGGTCAGCTCCACAATGAGAGGAGATGGGTGAAGTCTTTCGTGTATCTGCTTCCTGTACACCACCCCGGGAGGAGTTCCAGGAATGATGGATGGATAAAATGTTAGTAAATCCTTATTTTGATGTGGTGCCCCTAACTTTTTTATCATCATGTATTCCAGAATGTCCCAGGTCAGAATGTTAAGCATTTCACTTATGAGAAAGCACTTACTGCACAATGTCATTGATAGGAATGTTGAGCAGCTTGCCATCTAGTGTCGGGACTTTCACAGAGAAGCAGGTTAGTGCCTGTTAGAAAAGAAATTAGCTTGCAGCTTCATTGTTTGTTCTGCTTTTAAAAAAATAAACATACAATAAACCAGAGACATGACTTACCTTCTCCAGAGAGATCTTAGTTTTGTAGATCAGGTCGTTGCCTCGTCTCGTGAACATCGGATGACTTTTCTGTCGGACTATGAACACAATATCTGCAGGGATGCGGTTTGGTCCCTAAAGGCAAGATAAAATAAAAACAATTGATGTGGGACTTAAAAAACCATAGTGCTGTGCATGAGTTGACTTTTCAGCTAATTTTACAAAATCATGTTAGATAAAAATGAGTTTCATAGAGACTCTAGCACATTATGTGTGAGATGAAGTTCTATCACAAATAAATCAGCTGAGACTATCTAAATATGGCAATAGAAAATGCCAACACCTTGTTTCTGAAATTCGAATAAATATCCCCATCAAGTTTGGTTCCAGTGTCTCTATGTAAAACTCAAAAACCAGTTTCCCATAAAATAAACTTGGTTCAAACTAGTTCAGACCTCAACTGACAAAGAGGTTCACAGTTTGAGTACCAGCCCAAACATTATTTTCACAAAAGGTTCACATAAAAACTGTACAAAATGATAAAATCCAGCTTGTTCAAATGAATAAAGTTATTTAATTTTATTCAAAAAAAACCCTGCCTACTGTCCAAAATAAAACGACGTATGGAAATATTTAAGTAAAACAAATTTGAATTTGTTTTAAAAAATAGCCTGTTTTAAGATGTTGAAGAAAGTGATCTTATGATGGTGGAGTTAAACTGGAATATTTCCATGCATTTCCACACAGAAATCTAGCCATGACAACTTGTTTACATTGACAGCACGCCCCTTCCAATATGGCGCTGCGCTGGTACCACAGCTGTCCATCTTCTGAAGTGGGTGTGATGCCTCCAGTCAATACACTTCATTGGATTTACATTACAAACATAAAACAAAATTTTGCGACCAATTTTGAGTCATGAACGTCGCTTACTTGATCTCCCTCTTTGGAGAAAATGATTCTTGTGCCCTCTCTCCATCCAGGCTGCACTTCTACCGACAGGATCTTGTCCTTCATGCTGTATGTGTGTCCATCTTCATTCATCACCTGCAACGTAAGGAAACAACATAAACAATGGATTTTATCTGAAATATCTGGCTTTAAAAAACACAATGAAAAGCCCGATGAAACTATGGCTGACCTGAGATGTAGAACACAGAAATAATGGATAAAAAGCATTTATAAAATAAATAAAAATCTAAAAACAACACTTTGACCGAACAAAAATCCAAACCAAGAACACAGAGTTTTAGTAATGCAGATTATGTTTTGTTGCCTGTTTATTTTTCCATTGACCTACTATGATTACTGTTTTGTTTTATCTGGTGACACAATATTGTGATGCTATATGTCTATTTATTTTTATGTGTTGTGTTTTTGTTGGTTTATTCTGTCCACGGTTGCTGCGTCATTTGCTTTAAGAATCACTGTGCTCCAGAAAGCACTCAATGCATGAAAGGTTTAAACACTGAAAAGCTTCAGGAAGGAGACAGATGTGTTCAGTTGACTAAATCAGCTTCTACCCTGCGAGATATCTTGATCTTTTGCAGGCATCCGTAGAAGAGGTCATCCAGGGACAAATGAAGATCTTTTTCTATCGGAGCGTCTTGTGTCTTCACCGCCTCGTGTTTGAGTAGAAGTGGCAATTCTAGTGTAGAAATGTCTACCACACACACACACACAAAGAAAGTATAATAAATACAGTTGAAGTAAAAAAAGATAATACATGTGACTGTGGTTTTCTCACCTGCAAATGGGTTGTCACCCCCAAAGAACAACCTGAATGTTTTGTCTGGATCCCCATGATAGGCATATTTTGAGGTCCAAGCTCCACTCTGACCAAACTCAGCCGGGACGCCACCTTTCAGACCCTCCTCACCAAATTTRTCATAAGTTGCCTTTTTTCGAGCTTTTATAAAGAAAATATRATGTTAGACTACACACATTATAACAATACTAGTGCAGAGGAGCCCAAAGTGGGGCCCGCGGGCCAAATTTGGCCCGCCAARCCATTTSATTTGGCCCACCAACAGTTGCCAAAGTTACAAGGTTGTAACCTGTTATCCTATAGAAACACAGTATTTCCATTGGTCAAATGACTTATAAAAGGGCTGTAGTGAAGGTAGTTTTCAGTCATGGTGCTGACATATCTTTGATTTATTAGGATTAAACATGAAACGACAACAAGAAATATTTAGATTTAACCCCACGTGCAGATTTTCACACTTTATAAGGCCACAACTCATATTTTATCAATTTGTAAAATGTCCCATGAGCCTTTGCTACTTGAGCGTATGGCAGACTTTCTCCAAGTGCACAGACTAAAACAAAAGAGGGCCAGTGCACAGCTTAATCATTAAAAATAAAGGGCTTTACTTTAAAAAGTATTTGTATTTCATGTATTATATAACTGCATTTGGCCCGCAGACCTGGATAGATTTTCATTTTGGCCCCCTCGGAGCAAATGTTTGGGCACCCCTGTACTAGTGGGATTATATAGACATTTCAAATGAGTTAAAAACTTTTGATCTTAGAGTAAATTTAGTGATGCAACTCACTTGAAAGAAAGAGCATTGACTAGAGGCTATTCACCTTTCCTACAAAATATGTTTTGGATTTTTATTTATTTATTTACATAAATTTTCTGTAAGTTAATATAGTAGCTAAGAAGTGGTTTTTGAAGCTTGTGGTTCTCAAAGATCCTGCATGTCTYAGTTGTTTCTCTGCTTTGGCACACCTGTTTTAAATGAATGCATGATTGTCAGGCTTCTGCAGAAAGACTTGCTGAAGAGCAGGGAAACAAATAAATAACTAGCGGTAGATAGATAAATAGATAGCGGTCCTTGAGGACCAGGATTTATTTTATTTTAACTGAATTTCACTCACTGTCGCTGAGGACRTCATAGGCTTCACCCAGCTCCATGAACCTCTCAACACTTCCAGGCTCTGGGTTTTTGCTCGGATGAAACTTCAGCGCAAGACGGCGATATCTACGTTGAAATGGCATAAAAATGTCACGAAACCGACATGAAACCTTTTCTTTTTTTAAATTTTGAAACAACTTACGCTCTTTTGATATCTGCATCTGTTGCGTTTCTGTTTATTTCAAGCGTCTCGTAGTATCTCCAACTCATTGTGGGCTKAAATACGATTAATCCTCCCCAAAAGCTAATGAAGTTAGCTTAGCTAAGTGACTGAAATAAAAATTACAAGTCAAGCGTTGTTTGTTTCCATAGTGAAGGCTTCTTAGTAAGTTCTCGCGAGACTTGAGAAAGTAACGCGAACAAGCAACAGGAAGTGGACACTCTGGTTGCAAAGCTGTTTCCACAAACTTTTTTTTTTTTTTTATTGTAATATAAATTCAAATGTACAACGTTTAGGGATACAACAACAATATACAAGTGAAATACATTTTCAAGGCACAAGATATAAGAGAGCAAACAATAGACATAAACAAACAAAACACATTCACACCCACATTCACACAACTGTATTAATTTCAATCAGAAGTCTTCAAATATTTTCAAATTTTCAAATCCATTCCATAGAGACTTTGCATTCTTACATTT